TCATTGTATGCAGAATAGTGATAACATCAAGCCTTTAATTCAATATGCCTACTCCTACAGCTAGATGATAAACTACATCTTTTGCAATTCTTGATGCCAAGAGAATGGAGTAGCAGTTGGTGTTTGCAATTACAATTTGATGAAAGATGGATGGGTAAATTTCTTCTGGGAGCAGACGAGGTGTGAATAAGATCATCCAATCGCTAGCTCTAGATCAAAGACCGTTATCGAGGGCAAGCGTTCCAAGATACTATCACTCTACCTATTTGAAGAGGTATATTTCTATGTGTTTGAAAATAATGAAGAAGAATTATAATTGTTGATGCTTTGCCCAATTCTAAAGATGTGTTGCAAATACTAACTAGAGTGTCAATTTGAAGACTTTTCATAGCATTTTTATGTCACAGAAGTGCATACTACAAGTTTTATGTGATCCTTTTCATGTTTCAAAGTTTAGAAACGATTTCATATACCAAACTAAGTGAATAATACTACCTTATTCACGATGAAATTTCACTACTACAGACAGAAAAAAAATGAAAAAAAATGTAGAAATAGGACTGGTTGGTCCCAACTCAGCATAATTTCTGGAGCAGAAAGTGCATTGTTTCAAATAGGAGGTGCATGCCTTCTTCTCACCTTCATCTGGCAGAAGATAGCATCACTATGTGCAAGAGTTCTTAAAACGCAATATAAGACAATCCTGCAATTTTCATGCCAAAAAAACTTACCCTTTTGCACTTTCTACACTTTCTGCGTTTTCTAAACTGTAACACAATCAAACAAGTATCCATCCTGTTATTTATGGTTGCCACAGCATTTGTTATCCCCTTTCACTAAGAGGATACCTCATGACAATAGTTTGAATACTATCATCATACAGACTATTTAATGACTGAGCTTTCAAAAGAATGAGCTATGGTCATATATTACTAAACCTAACAAAGGGTGATCTATACTTCTATACATCATAAATGTATTGTTATGTTGATTGAATGCAAAACTGAGCATTCATCACAACTTGTATGACAATGCTACCATTACTCAAAGTCTATTGGATTAATATCCCTAAAATATACCACTGTTAGAAAATATTATTTTGAGTAAATGTATCTATGCATGCAGCATAACAATGCTCTTTTCTTACCAAAAAAGACTAGCCATACTCAAATTCTATTGAGTAGATGAGTCAATAAAACCAACAACAACAACAAATTTCGAACAAGAAACACACACTTTGTTCTTCGGTTAATCAATATCTTTCCAAAAATGCAACCCTCCAGAAAGGATCCACAGTGTACAGGATCAAAATAAAATTACAAAAATGACTGTAAGAATTCTTTGAAAAAACAGATCAACTAAAAACAAATTAAAAAATATAAACAAACCTCAAGATGTAAACACAAGTATTGTTACAACTGTAGAAGGTCTTACCAATATTCATCATCACCGTTATAAAATTCAATTTTTAATTACCAAAACAAGCAAAAAAAATATAGAGCCTCAAAGAAATCAAGATTCCTGTAGCATCTTAAGTTGTATGAAATACAGAGAGCAGGCAAGCCATGCAAACATACAAGATACATTGTACATACAACATGAGAAAAACAGAGACATATATATATATAAAAACAACAACAAGTACCAAGATCATGACACATGAAATATCACATGAATTATTATTCATAAGGATTCTTTCTCTCATTTACTTTCAGTTTTAATATATTTAGAATTTCACAATGCACATGCTTATCCCACTCACATCACAGAACAGAAAAAAATCATTATTTCCCACCTTACTATTGTAATGGTTACTGACTTGACACAAAGGATTTCTAATTCAACTTAATCTGAATTTATACTTGTCTAAAGTAGTAACTTTTTCAAATCATCCAATGCAAACCTAAGTACTGAACATACTGTAAAGCACATACTTTGTGTTAACAGATGATGAAAGATATACAAGATCACGGGTGAAGCTTGACTGACACATATATATCTCAATATATCCACTTCATTCATTCATTTGTCTACTTTCATTATTGTACATCTTATTCATCCTGGCTTTTTCCCCGACACGAATCTTGCACGGAAGCTGCTAAAGTAAATACCTATATAACACGTCTCATAATGTGAGCCGACACCAAGTGACTGTCACTCATGCACCCTTCTTCTCAAGTAAGTCATCGCCAAAGATGTTATTCTTCAGAGGATTCATCCTGTTGCGCATGCAGCCCACGCCCTCCTAATAAAGCAAAGTAGCCTAACTGGAGGCCTTTCGACCATGCCGTCTCCATGGCAACACAGGCGAGAGATGCTGCCGCCGATTGACGGAAATCAAGCAAATGGACCTCGTAATACCCGCCGAATTTGCGCTTCTTGAAAAGCCCTCCCGACACGCTTCTGTCTGTCGGCTTCGCAGAATGCTTGATAAACCCAATCTGTCAGGTGAATGATACTGTCTCACTTATTCTTGTTCAAGACCTTAACTTTGGTCATCAAAAGTTTCATGAGAAGTGCTTTTTTATCCTGCTGCATGATATATATAATCTAATCCCTCTGATTACATTTTCTGAGGTTACTGTGTAGGATGTTTTAGGTTCTAGCTGAGATATCTTTGCCATTCTGAAAAAATTCCAACTTCATTTAAACTTTAAAGTCATGATCCAATATTTCCACTGTGGTGAATTTTATCAATCTTTTTCTGATTTATCTATAATTAACAATATAATTGGATTCCCGTTACAAAACTTTCTCAATTCAAAAATCTGAACCTTCATACCTTTATTCTTTTCTTTATTATTTCCACACTAAGTCTATCATCTCTTCTTATATCTGCAGAATCAATTGTATATTTCTTCATTTCTTTTTCTCCTTTTTATTATCTCTCTTTCTCTTATATTTCTATTCTTTCTCCTTTCTCTCCCTAACATGCACTCGCCCCCTTCCATCTTCGGTGGCAATTCCATTCATAGCACCTGTAAATCTGCTGAAAGCCTGACTTATCATGACTGCAACAGGATCGTAATAGATCGGTCCTTGCCGCACATAAACACTGGGTAACAAGATACTTGTCTCATCCAGAGTCCAAATGCTAGGCATAACTCACCTCATCCTCATTGGCTTCATCAGTCCCACAAATAAACATTCGTGTTTGCATGCTTAGAAATGAGGTTTCCACTTTGATGCATTCCATGACTATATTTGCCATATCAGCATTCCTAGGAGTTGCACTTGTTCTTGCAAACTTTTTAATGTTAAAGATATCAAATTATCTGCTCATTGATGTCATAAAATGGTTGTTTCATGCCCCCCTAATTATATTCTAGTAACACCCATCTAGATATTCTTTCAGAACCATTAAACTGAATGAGTATGGACCCAGCTCTTTCAATAAACTACACAGAATTTAAATTCATTTATTCATCTATGATCCCATAAAAATCAATCTAATTCAAACCTGTGTGTCTCCTTCTAATAGCACCCCCTTTATCCCTTCTGCACCATTCATCATCTGATGAAAGATACCCGAGTTCATAAGTTTAAACATGAACTACACCCAAGCAGAGTGACTGGGTATGCTTGTCTCTACACAAGTAATTCAGATGGCTGTTTAACAATCCCTCATCTACTGGTTGGCCCACTGTTTGATGCAACAATAACAGATCGCAGGATCGGTTAACCAAATTACAGGGAAGGAAATCCTGCCAGTACTAACATAGGAGTCACATGTTTAAAGTTCATTGGCATGAACCTGGAGGCTAGAAAGAGGGATAAAAATCCACCCTCAAGAGGCACAAGTTGTGAAGAAAGCAAACAAGAATTTCTCTCTCTCTCTCTCTCTCTCTCATGATTTTTCTACCTAGATTTTGGAAAGTTGAACCATAATTGTACCTTTTTTAAAATCTCTCTCTCTCTCTCCCCTCTTCTCTGTAATACTTGCTTTTTCAATCTTAATTTAAAACAACCTTAACATTTATTGATGTCAACCAAAACAATTTACAAGTTTCACTCTTTTCAACCTTTCAACGTTTAACATGATTACATAACAAAACAACAGATAGAACAATCCAATAATCATGCATGTCAGGCCTAATGATTACATGCTAAAACACAGGACGAATTAAAACATAGAAATCCAAGTCAATTTACTTCAATATTTTTTGCATGAAAACATACATGTATTATATGGAATACAGACCCTGGTAATTACATAAACAGACATTGTAAAGTCACCAGTTCCAGTTGGAAGGGAACATTTTAATTGAAACCACGGCAACCTATCTTAGAGCTAATTAAAAAAAAGAACTTGATGAAAACATTGAGTTAAAATTCACTATTTTAATTTGTAGCTTTAGATGTATCCAAACATCCCTTGACTTGGTAAACCTGTCTTAATAAATCAAAACCATGTTTCGCAAGTATATGTCACTATATGGTAAGCATTTACTAATATTAATGACATGACAAAGAAAATAGGAAATATCTTGTTTGTATATGATTTGCCATCTTTCATTAAAAATATATTTATATTCAGATTAGATTTTCCAATGTGTAAAGTGTAAGCTACTATTTCAATATTCCTGCAATGTATTACTGATGCTATAATAACTAAATCAAAACTAAAAAATGCATCTAGAGATATGCAATTTCTACTTCAGCACACACAACAAAAATTGCAATTGTAGAGTAACATATCCCCCTTTCCTTGGGAGGTACTCATGGTAGTGACTTAAAAACATGCTATGTCTATAGATGATGTGTTTTGAGAGCCAGAAGGGCATTAATTCAGTATATTTTCATACTGACTAAACACCCTTTCGGCACTCAACTTATGACCCATGCAGATATTTGCTGGCTAAATCTTTCTCCTCCTCATCCAAAGCTATGTCACAAGCATGCACAGTTTTGGACAAAATTCACACACAAGCTCTTTTATCTTCACCCATGATAGAGAAAGAAGAAACTCTGCTGAACAAAAGAAGAAAACTCTAGCTTACCTTTGCCATCCATTTTGGAAGAAGAAGGAAGGATTCTTCACTGAGGAAAGTGATAGGATCGATAGCATCCACATCTTCTGTTGTGAAGGTGATATCACCAAAGACCTGAGTGAAGTCATCGCCACTGATAGCCAACTCAAGAAGCTCAAGCATAAAGTCTTCACCGTTGTAAACAACCTAGAAGATCAAAGACAATCAAAAGAAGAAAGAAATAATGATGATTAGAATACAAAAGCTCCAGTATTAAGTCTTCTCCATTATATACAACATGTGAAATCAAAGACAAAGAAATTAAGGTCAAAATGTACATTATGATTTATAATGACTCAATTCTGGACATATTCTGTTTTCATATTTTTAATCAAAATGACGGGATGGGATGAATAAATAGTAGCCAAGTTTTTCTTTCTTTCTTCTCAACACTAGTGAATATTATTCTTTATATAAACGTTATTTCCAGAAGCTGGTATTATCATTTCCACATGAAACATTCTGAAAAACATCAGCAAACACACTTTTCTCCTTTTTAAATTTGATTTATACTTTTCCTCTGAATATCAACCATCTTTTATTTAATACAATAATCAAGATATTCTGACAACTGATGATGGAACATTAAAATGTTTTTCACAAAATTCATGAGCATAACATTATGGACATACTACCTCGTAAAATCAGAACTGAATTTCACATGCATTTAGATATTATCCCAGTGTAATTGACACTTAAATAAAGATTTAGGCACTTTCTGGTCTCCTTGCAGTAGTATTATCATGAATTTATTCAATATTCTTTTTATTTCTACCTTTATCTATTTTCATCAGCTGTATAGAATCGCCTCAAGCTATATAGAATTCTATTCATCCACAAAAAACACACAGAATATAAAGGTATTTTCAACAAGGTACTGAAAATAGCTTTGGCATGGACCACTTGAAATAAATCTGGGTCATTACTGAGTTATCTTGCCTTAAACCTATTCATCAAATATTCATCCCATATCTCATCCCATGCCCCATGTTCTATGCAAACAAACGGTCTGAATATTGCCTCTGGACAGTCAACGGCTGCAACGACACTGTTTGGATTTGCAGTGTCTTGACAGGACAGCAAATGATGTGAACGCTGGCCAAAATACTCACACTCACCAACCTTCAGGGGTACCCAAGGGATGTTAACCCACTGCTTCTCATGCACTCACTTTCATATCACATACATTTGCCATATCCCAAGTTATGTTTAACCACTCCAAATTTGTATTCAAGAGGCACCAATCCTTCTTGATTCCTATTATGAACTGTTGAATTTCTCCAGAAATGTTCTTTAAACAGCTTGCTCATTGCAGTTGATAATATTCCTATTCAAAGGTCTTTCCTTTATGTTTATATTGTCTGTTCAGGGCCAGAAGGGTGCTAACTCTGTGTTAAAGTATAGGAGACTGTATAGGAGAATGGACAGCTGGACAAGTAATATACAGATCTATTCACACATAAAAAATAACCTTCTAAAAACCTTCTTAATTTGGCCTTTAATCCCATCCATATTGGACCCAATATCACAAGAAAATGAGAGAAGTTATGCTATATACCAAGATTTGTGTCAATGTCTGATTGACATTTCATAATGGATTTGGATATCACCATAGGTGTTCCCATTAAAGGTCTTATTGATATCTGCCTAAATTAGACCAATTCCTTGATAAGATCATTCCAATGATTAAAAGGCCAATATATATGTGTATTGCTTTGACAGGGGTCTTCTCACTTTTCATCCGGCAATCCCAATACAGTTGGATTAGCAAAATGAAGTAGTGATTGATTTGTACATTCAACATTTGGGATACATGTACAGGCATCACTATTGTTATATTGACTGATTTGTTGTGGATATAAACCCATTGCTATCTTCAACTAATATACAGCAGCTATAACTATGGGTAATAATACTGCTATGATTCCTGATACAACACAACTCAATCTAGTTAACTTTTATCCACATAGCTTCTTACCCAAAAAGTAATCAGTTTCTCCTAAAGGTATAGGATGTTTCAATCGTGATGATATTATGATATCGAATTGTGTGAATTTCATTTTCCTTGGGTATGATGCTCAATTGCCCAACTTTGCCAAAGGTTCTGAATAAGATTACTTTCTTTATTATTCATCATTCCAGATTTATTAAACCACATTTTGACTTAGGCCTTGATCTCAAAAGGTTCCTCACAAACAGCTTTCAATCACTATGTCATATACTTGAAGTCATCTGGGGGTAGAGATACTCTGGTTTCTGCCACACTGTATCACTTTGTCAGCTCTTCTTCTGTTACTTGCCCTAAGACCTCAAGAAGTAGTACCGGGACTGATCTACCCCTACGAACCCCTACGGACCCTACACCTCAGAAGCCAAAATGGAAAGAAAGTGGCAACCTGCACTCAAGCTCCTGTCACTCAGTCACATGACTCTTCAATCCAGAGCTCATATCACATGACCCAATCACTACGCCAACCATCATCAATGAAGTCTAAAGCTTCCAAAACCCTCTTCTACTGTCGGCATAGTACAGTGTAACTACAGCTAGGGGCCAATGGTACAAGCTTAGTACCAAGAACAAGCTAATATTGCACACGTAATCCATCCCACGTCCCATGTCTCAAATCCCCCCGAAACGCGCTTTTATTGATCTCCCGTATTCCATTTCTAATGAAAACATGTAGTCTACCACAGTTGGACATCGAGGTGCACCCACATTCCCCAAAATACGCCCTGAAAAATAAAGGTGGCAGTATTGATTACGAATGCTCAATTGCTTTTTTTCTTCGAGAGTGAATATTATTTCCGTGGTGAACGCCCTTGGGTGATAGCCGCGGCTACGCATAAAATGTTTGGCTTCTTGCTGGCTGAGCTTGGCACACTGGACTATCTACAATGTTTTTACAGGCGAGAAGTGTCGTCGAGTCTTCTACAGACAACTTGGCGACACATGATACTGCTTGCTCACAGTGTGAACACACCTCTAAAGACTGGCTTTCAAGTTAACACTCCTCCCGTGATTAACTTACCAAGAATCAAATTTGATACCATGGATTTCATTCCCTCTGATGCATAGAACCACGATCACAGCCAAGGTGGCTACTAGTCTGATATCTACTGAAGATATGAAGATCTTCATATTTCTTCTTCCTAAGAAATCACATAAATGTTCAAATCATATTACTGATTTAAACACTCACTCATTTTTTTAGATCATTTGATAATGCTACTGCAATCATCATGACTATGCAAACACAAATTTCTTCTCCAAAAGGTTCCTTCATAATATATAGGTTGGCATTGCCTTTAGTCATCTTCTGTAACACCCATCCCCACCTTCATGATATTTTGATCTTTAAAATGAGACAGCTTGGTCCTCCTACGACCATCATTACAAAACTAAGAAAGCATCAAATTTGTAACTCTATCTTCATATTTAGAGAAGACACTTCTGAGTTTAAAAATTTCAGTCTTTGCCCTTGAGTAACTAAAAACATGAGAACGTCATTAGACAGACAATGGGAAAGTTAGCGCCAGATGAGCCAAGCTGTCAACATCATTCCTTGTGCATGCTTGTGTGTCTGTGAGTACGTACTGATCAGATGCGTTCCCACTGCTCACATTCACGAGGTCTACACACCTCTCTGTGTGGTGCGCATCATGTAAGTCACCATCTGCAACAGAATTGGCTTAAACCGATACAAAGGTGTAGAAAACCAATCTAAATATAGCAATGAGAAAAACCCCGCAAATCTTGGCAATAGGAACAGGGTTTTGAATGCATCTGAGACTAAGAGAGGAGGAAAACATGCATATCCCGGAGCTATAGATGTTATTTACCACCTCATCGTGTTCAAATACTAAAGGGATAGAGGCACACAGTTATAAAATATTCTCTATTTTGAGCCAAGCTGCAAGATTTGTGGGAGTAAAGTCACCATATCATTTCACTAGAAGAAGTTATTTATGCAGCTTTGGGAAAAACAAACAGCTAGGATATCAAGTGGTTACAACATTTGAATCCACAAAAAAAACTAGAAGCTCGAAGGCACAGCTAAGGCAACCCATAAACACTTGATAAGCAATATTTATACATTTAGTATCAAATTGGAAATTATCTGTGAGGAGCACCAGGGTATCAAATGACATACTGCTTAACTCTTTCTATTGTTGAATATGTTTAACTAAGCATATCTGTATTAAAAATAGTAAGGGCATTACATATATATTCCATCTATGATTCCAACGTGTACATAAAAGCAGATTGATTTCACAGCCTTTTGGGACTCCCAGAGCTGGATTTAGACAACATCAAGGGTGAAGTATATTCTCTACTAGGTATCAATCATTTGTATCCAAGCTTATTTTCCCATAAAGATGTACTCGGTCATTATACCATCAAGCAACCTATCAATTTACAACAATTTAACTGATGTAATTTATTAAACAATCCACTTACAAACCAACACCATGAACTTATCATTCCCCAACTTTAAGATTAAACAGGTAGGAAGTATAAATGGTAGCAGAACATTACTACAAGTACTTTTGATTGCAAGAAATCGTCGGCCTTATGCCAAAAGGGCCTTAACTGCTTTTGGCCATTTCGAGATAATCGCATTTAAAGGTTTTGGCCTCTCTAATAATCAAAAGTTTGTGGTCGTTTTTTTTTTTTTTGAAGCCAATTTCGATAAATATGTTAAGTTATTAAGTTTTACATGAAATGTGTTAAATGTGTTATAAAATATTCAGAATTGTACATGCTATGTGCAAAAAACATGTTAGGGCCTTTTTGGCATAAGGCTTGAATGCAGCGTATTTATGCCAGAAGGGCCGTAACCTACTCGGCATTGTGCCAAAAAGGGGCGTAACCTACGCGTCGTTATGCCAAAAGGGCGCGCATAGTTAGCGCCCTTCTGGCATAAGGAAATTTTCTTGTTTCGCAACACCTTTGGTTTGCCAGAAAGGCCCTCCTACGGCTATTGGATCACAAAAACTGATAAAACTGGTTAATTAAAATGTTTGAAAAAGTATTTTTGATATCTGAATATTTTTATTAATATAATGCAGCTTTCGGTAAAGTTATTTTTTAGAGATCGTACATTTAGAACATCTTTTTCGTTGTTTATTTTTCATCACAGTCCCAT